CTCTCTCTCTCTCTCTTCTCTCTCTCTCTCTCTCTCTCTCTCTCTCTCTCTCTCTCTCTCTCTCTCTCTCTCTCTCTCTCTCTCTCTCTCTCTCTCTCTCTCTCTCTCTCTCTCTCTCTCTCTCTCTCTCTCTCTCTCTCTCTCTCGACTGCAGAGCAAAGCCGACGCATTCGAGTATGCAGACCAAGTGTTGGAACGCTGGTACCCCTCGATTGAAGAAGGTAATGATAAGGGGATTGTTGTGCTTGTCACCAGTCAGAAAGAAGGTGCTGTCACAGGTGGACCTAAGTTCATTCAAGCTGTAGGAGATACAGTTCTCGATGCCACTGTATCAGAAAACCTCCCTGGTAATGTAGATGCTCATCTACCAATGCTACCGATAAAGCTATTAATTTTCCTTTCTCGACTTATTGAACTTTTAGGATGAAGTAGATTGTTGAGGTGCTAAATATGATAAAATATTTTGCTTTTGTTACACTAGGCTACTTCACAACCCTGAAATTTAGGTTTCTCATACTTCAGTTGTATATTGGTCCAGTGCCTACTAATGAAATGAAGGCATTTGTATGCATATATGATAATTTTAACATGGAAAAGGGAGTTGGCATAACAGATACGGTTGTGGTAACATGCATAAAGAAAGGAGGCATCCCAAATTGAGTCAAATGCGTCTCAAAAGGTGTGTGTTGGTGGGGTTTACTTTCAGCCCACCTTCATATGTATTATTATGTTTTGAATGTTAGGTTTTAGGATACATAATTTTTGTGGTGGCATTAGGTAGGTTAGATGTAATGGAGTTCCTTTTGGATTCAATGCAGCAAAGAGGTTTGCAGATAAATGATGATATCACAAAGAGATCATGGATACGCTCATGAAGCTATATTAGCAAAGTGTCTCAAATGATGGGTTAGTCTAGATCAAAAGGAACTTACAATAGGAGGGGACCAGAGCCATGGGAGGATAAAAGCATTTGAGTTTAGGCTCAAAATCTGCTATTAGAGGGAAGGTTGAGAATGTCATTTCGGACGGATGTAGTGATGCACATGGGTGCCAAATTCATACTCCAGTATGCAAGTAGCTCATATGGCTAACATCCATTTGTATGCCATGTGAACCATATAAAAAGATAGTTTAAATTATGGTTAAATTATGGTTGGTGCCATGTGTCACTATGTGACGACATGTGAACCATATAAAAACAATTAAAAATTGTGGAGGGCTCATTACAAGGTTGGAACCCTAGCCATTTTAGCATACCGTACTTTACCACCTCTCTGTTCCTTCTTATTTGGTATAGAAAGGGAATTTATTTTATGTAAACTGAAAAACACAATATTTTATTTATGAATCTTTTGTATGAACGTGTCTAGTTATATTGGCTTTTTGGACCGAAAGTGCTAGACACCGTAGTCACATGTAGACACCAACAATCATGTAGGTGCAAATGTAAAACTTGACTTTAAGGTGCTGACAAGGTGATCATATATGCTTTAATCCTTGTGAGCTGTTGGTGATCATCAAGGCATCTATAGTGCCCCTGAGGTTGCACCAGAACCTTGTCAATTGCTTATTTGAGAACTATGATCATTGGCTCTAGAACTGAATGATTTCCTTGTATTTGAGAAAAACTTCGAGATTCACAGGAACTTAATCAGAATAAATCATATTTTTTATTATACAATCCACCAGTATGAACATCAACAACTTCCAATTGGATGAGTTTTTCCTCGATAAGTAACTGCTTGGGCCAACAAATCCTACCAACAAGAGAGATAGTTGGAGAGGTGATAAAACCCTAAAATTGTAATTACAAGGCCATAAACCCAAAAATGATTTATTGTTTTGTGAAAGAATGATCGGGCCTATGAGAAATACATATACATTAAGTAAATGTAAATTACATTCATTTCAAATTTATTAAACGAGGGTAACAAGTAAGAAAAGGTAAGAAGTAAGAAGATTATTCTAGGAGCAATATAGGTCCTTTTGTATTTGTGACAGTGTTACATGCACACATACACAAGTTTTGGTATCTAATTTGTATCAAAGATGTGTAATATTTTTCTCAAAAAATCGATATCGCAAGACGTGTCCTTGAATTAAAATTTTAAAATAAAATAAATAATTTTCAATGTTATATTTTTCATAATTTATACACTTATGCACTGGTGGTAGAGTGGTGGAGCATTGGGTTTCACTGCAGCAGATCCCATGCCTAACCCACACGTCTCGTGTTTTAATTGTATTTCAAACCCACCTATACTGACACATGTCAACACCTGACACAAACCAAGAAAGGTCAGGATAACATTGTTTAGTGTGGGGAAAAGAGATATCTTGGATAAGTCACCATTGCATTGATTTAAGCCTCTGTAAGTGTCGCATTTCCAAAGTAGCCCAAGCATCAACACATGAAAAAGCATGTATATATTCGTGTGAATGCACATATATCATATTCAAACACCCATGCACATGCATATATAGGTGTACACAGAAAGTATACCTTAGGTACAAGGTCACAATAACCCCTAACGATCAGATGTCAAATCAGGAAGCTGGGAGTCTCCCATTGATTGTACCCAAAGTCTGAGAAAATATTTATTGTGCTTTGCATAAGGAAGTGACCAACCCCCAGCCACCCAATTTGACATCTGACTGGCGGGGATGATTATGACCTTGTATCAAAGGTAAACAATCTTATTATATACATTCCTGTAAGCATAGATTTGTACGAATACTTCTAGGCCTTTTAGTCTATATGTTTTCTCATATTGTGATTCAAATTTCATTTTATTTGCAGTCTTGGCCACTGAGGAGAAGTACAATGAAGCTGTATTTAGCACTGCAACGAGGTTGGTAGCAGCCATTGATGGCTTACCAGACCCTGGTGGCCCCAAGTTCCAGGACAACAAGAGAGAGTCCAACTTCAAGACTCGTGAAGAGACTGAAGAGAAGCGAGGCCAATTCACCGCAGTTGTTGGAGGCTTGCTTGTGATCGCATTTGTGGTTCCAATGGCTCAGTACTATGCATATGTCTCGAGAAAGTAGACACCGGAGGCTCAATATTTATCAGCGACTAAAATTGTATAATCTGTTATATGTTGTAGAGGATATGATTTATGAGAAAATTTTCTACTATTCAGTAAAGAAACTCATTTTGTAGCTACCATACATTAATCAATTAATGCATTTACTACTTGATCTTTTCTCATGCTTAATGTGTCGAATTGTGTTCAATGGTTGTTGAATGTGTTTTAATTTTCATTCATGATAAATTTATAGTACACATTTTTTTTTTTCCCAAGTAAACAAAGAGAGAGCTGTAACTAGGCTTGCAACCTTAGTGGGAGAAGAAATGGCATTTGGTCAGAGAAAGGTGGATCAGCATATTTTCCTGTGAGGATTTGGGATGAGACGTATCGGTTTGCAGCCTCAGTGTAATGAATTCCATCCCAGCTCACATACTCGGTGGCATCGTTACATGCTTGTGCTGTTACTTGGTTTCCATTCAAGTTCTTTGTTTGCCCGCATGCAATCCGGCTATCATAATTTAATGGAGGTCCACCATATCCACAGCAAGCTGTTGTCGAGTGCTCGAATCCTACACACATGCATGCGCACACACAGAGGATGTAGGACCATATCATATCTCTTGATGAATTTACCTATCATTTAGAACAATATGCACTGTAAAACCTCTCTCTTACCGTATCGGGAATAATTTGAAATGAGGCTCAATTTGATGGAGAAAACATCGACATAAGTCACATTGGCACCCGTTAATTGGCCTTGTAGTTTGCTGCAAAGGGCATGAAGCTGCAAATTGAAGAGCTTTGATGCCTTGTTATGAGAGATGACACACCCAAGCTCATCAAGCTTTGATGGTTCCTTTCCAAATGCTGCTATGTTTTGGGGCAAACAGCCCAATGGACCTGTGTTGTGTATCCAAAATTTTCTGGCTCCCGAGTCATATATTTTCTATGAAACCAACAGGATTCATACTCAGTAATGAAACATGCCAAAGAAAATTGAACCTTGCTCTATAAATAATAGAGTAGAGGATTATATTTGGAGTGGTCAAATCACTTTACAAAAATCACTGAGGTGGTCAAATCAACATCTTTATCAAGAATTGGGTGTTTTAAAATTAGTAATTTGGCCCCCACTTGTATTTTAAGCAAATTACCAAAATGCTTTTATTTGTTCAAGATTCCAAACATGAATAAGTAAAGTCCAGATATTTTTAACAAAAATAATTGAGAGGGTACTTGAGCAAATTGTTTTTTGGGTGAATGTACTTGATCATATTGGGTCTTGTTAAAGTAAACATCTTGTTGATAAATTTGTTTTCTATACTACTTTAGTAATTTTTTGACATGGTTTGACCATTATAATGATAT